CACCAGTTAAAACGTGTGAGTGGATAGCGCACTCGCCCGGAAAGCGTGAGGTGCGGGTTCGACTCCCGCCTGGGGCACGACTTTTGCCCACAACTCAGCATTCTTGTGATAACATTCGGAACGCGTACTGCGGCGTTAAACAGCAGTTATCAAACAAAAAGATAACTATACTATTCTTCTCGCCCAAAACGTTCAAAAAATGCTCGATGCGATAGCAACCACAACACATATGTGCGTTATCCAGGCAATTTCGACGCTGTTGTCGTGAGATGATGTGTTTGTGCACCCAGATTTATTTACGGCTCTTTGGGGGTACGGTGTATGGTTGTTCGCCTACTGAAGTTACCGTACTGTGTTGAATAACCTGAAGACTGATGGAGGGAACAAAAGAAAGAAGAAACAATCGAAACAGATGAAACTCACTCATTGACAGCGGCTTCAAATCTCGATCCTCATACATTAGACCGAGAGCTGATCGTTTCAAAGGAGGTGAGATTTTGGAACGATATGATGCAGGCGGACATGCACCACTGACCATCGGACTATTCATATATTGTTGCATATAGGGATCAATAGGAGAGCATCCCTGTGATTAGATATTCTTTCAAACACGAATAGGTAAATTACTGGTAAGACATGAAACAAGAAATGACTGGTAAGTGAAGATCAAAGGCATAGGGCACGATAACTGGTTCATGGTCGGAAATGGTAGGAGGGGTGCAATATAGAGGGGAAAATGGAAAAAGCAAAGCGAAACGATTAGAAACTTGCAAAACCTTTCTTCCAACGACTCCGGAACAAATTCGGATGGGTCTCCCGCTGGCATCGTACCAGTAACTAATAGGGCTCCACGCATGTCCTCATATGTCTATGCAGCACCATAGCCGCGTCATATCAGTCTCGTTGCTCCATACTGTACTTCGCAAATGAAGCATATGAGCATCAGCATCGATAGGACATTTGCGGGCGGGCGGGCGCAGGGACGTACGGGTTGGTATGTTCCAACTTGATAGGGCGCTGTGGAGATACCTTCCTTAGAAATGCAGCACCTGCTCAGGGGCGCAAACCGTCTTGCTAGGCGTACTAATCCTCCTGGGGATTTCTCGTGCAACTTGCCTTTAACACATTCCGGACCGCCGTTGTGCGAGGATCTCTGCGTAATTTCTTTACTTTTCAAACCGATCAATCAGCAATTTCATCTGTTTATTTCACTTTTCTACGAGATATTTGTATTCTGTGCCCAAGCAACGAATGACAGAGAGATCGTTAGGTAAAATGGCGCAGAAAGAAATAAAGTATGACATCACCATGAGGGTGTCACGCGTCCGAGAACGGTTAAAGACAAATTGTACACTCTCCTTCTGGATTCTGGTAATTTGCATGCGTGAGGTGAACTTGTTCGCAGCTGCAGTATCACACTGTATACTTTCTCAAGTCAAAAATTGGAAGGGCTGGAGTGGTAATAGTCGTCCTCATACTCCGCGCGCTTAGCTCTAGCCAAACCCGCTACTTTCCTGTATCCTCTAACTTCTGATTGTTCTGTACCGCTGAGTGCGTGTTTCACAGCGGGATCATCGTATGGATGCAAGTGTTGCACAATGAGGATAGTACGGTTGGAGTAGGGAGATTACTCCCGGATACCACTCCTATAGCCCCGTTCTCGTGCACTTTCAAGCCGACAAAGAGGAACGGCAGCTGCTTACCCGTTTACCTCACACATGGACAGGATCGCCTTCTGAGGCGAGTGCACAGTTTGTCCTCAGAAAGCAGATGTGCGAAAATGAAAGAGGGTTTTTTCCTCAAAATTAGAGAGAGCAATCAAAACAACATCGGACAACGTTACCAAACTCCGTCCCTCTCCTTCCACCGCTAAACAGCTGCACTACACTTCTTACTCGCCTGAAGCTTTAAAATAGAACCTATAGCTATGACTCCATTCACTAATTATCCACCTGATCCGCACGTTAACTAACGCAGATGATGAGAATGTTTTCAAATTAGGTTGAAAATACACATAAAAAATTGAATAGTAAGTCAACGATTAAAACTTGCCAGGACAGCTCGGCCAGCTGATGGACGTGATTGTGAAATAACTTGCTCGAACATGCTATTAAAATCCTCATTGGAAAGATCAAGTGCACTCAAATCGTCGACGCCGAACTCTTTACCATCGAAATTAGTTCCAATATCATCTGAAACTCTATTGTATAAGCTCATTCAGAAGAAAACAGGCCATTAAATGGCATCATGTTGTAAGCAAAAATCAATGAGAGAAAAACGAAACAGGTTGGAAAAAGCCTTACCGCAGGGCATTGATGAGAAAAACTCACCACAAGTACCATGTCGAGAAACATAGGGTGCACGTATTGCAATACTATCGAGATTAGGTTCTTCGAACGGAATATCTTCTGGAATTGAGGATCATCTGGGTTTTTTAGACATCAAGGTACAGAAAAAGGAAAAATTTACGAGCACATTCTCATCCCACTTACCATAGGTGGGTGTACACAGTGACTGTGGATAGACCGTCATCGTTGGGAGACTTCCGGTCGAGGAACGAGCAATGGCAGCAGACAGAGAGGAGAGCAAACTTGAGGCGTCGTCACATCCTCCGTCTGAGAGCATACCGGACGACAATGCGACAGCATCTGAAACCGAGGTCGAATTTTGAAGAATCGGCAAAAGGGTGTTCCTCCCTGCCCTTGATTCAGCTTAATCTCAAGCGGTTTTCCTGATGTGTATAGCCTAGTATGCTGCGGACGATCGTCAGACGGGATGAACTTGGCGCGGTGCCAAACCCGTTATCCACTGGTTGATGGAGCGAGTAAGTGACAGACTATGCCATATCGTTCGTTTCACTCGTTTTCTACCAATTTTTGCGCATAGCCACTTCAACAATTGGCA